GCTCATTTCCGCTGGTAGTAGTAGTGGTGGTAGTAGTAGTAGTAGCAGCTGCTGCTGCTACTACTACTACTACTACTACTACTACTGCTACTGCTACTGCTACTGCTACTGCTACTGATACTGCTACTACTACTACTACTACTACTACTGCTACTGCTACTCCTACTACTACAACTACAACAACAACAACTACTACTACTACTACTACTACTACTACTACTACGGTTGATGAAATAAATCCTGCATTTCCCATCATAAGGAATATATACCATACTTCCCATAGTTCAGGGTCCTCAAGGTAATGCCCTAAACCCTAAACCCCTAAACCCCTAAACCCTAAACCCTTAAACCCTAAACCCTGAACCCAAATCCCTAAGGTGTCCCTAAGGTACTGCAGGATTTCTATCATCAACGCTATGAGGCTGTCGGGCTCAAGAGCTTTGGCCTTGGGACTCTTTGGTCGCGCTACGGGGCGTAGCTCTCTTAATTTGAGTCCGTTAGGTCGCTCTCTAAGCGAGGGTTCCTTCTAGGGTCTGTTTTTTCAAAGGGTCTGTTTTGGGGTCCTGGTTTAAGGTCTAAGGTATAGGATTTTGGAGGGTGCCGGGCTCTTTTTTTGGGACCTCAAAAAGGGCCCTAACTTAGAGATCCTGCACTTTCGAGGTTCGCCCGGCTCTAGGATTTCAGTCTTTTGAGGAGGTTTAGGGCTTTAGGGTTTTGGGCTTGAGCGCTTCAGGCTTCAGGGTTTGGGGCTTTAGGGTTTAGGGTTGGGGGCTTTACTGTTGAAAGGGTCGGGGTAAGTTTTGGGCATATGGGCTTCGGAATTTCGAGTGCTGGGGCATTGGGAAAAGCCGTAGACACTTGATGTGTCAGGGGATCTAACGTCCCGACATTGCTGTAATAACCTAGCTAGGAAGACCCCTGTTGCCGTAGGAATGGGGGCGGGGACAAAAACACTTCAGCGTTTTCAGGGTGGCACAAAATCAGGTTGCTGGAATCGCTTCTGGCGGCCTAGAAAAGAGGATCCCCCAAGCCCTAAACCCCTAAACCCTACAGCCCTAAACCCTAAACCCTACAGCCCTAAACCCTAAACCCTAAAGCCCTAAATCCTAAACCCTAAAGCCCTAAATCCCAAGCGCCTGAAGTCCACAAACCATAAACTCATGAGAGGACAACTACCCTCCCCTGCCCCCTTATTAGGGTTTAGGGTTTAGGGTTTAGGGTTTAGGGTTTAGGGTTCTTGAGGAACCTTGTAACAACGCTTCGGAAAACTCGCAGTATATACAACTGTCGCCATTACTTCTAGTCTAGTATTATTGTTCTTTATTTTCTTTCTACCCTTAGTATTGTCCTACTGTTACGATGATTACTACGATTACGAGTATGTTTATGATCATTGGTAGAATTGCTATTGCTATTGTTACCGATATCATTGTTGCACCGTGGTTGTTGTTGTTGTTGTTGTTGTCGTTACGGTAATACGATTATAAAAACCTTAATGTCGAAATGATTACCTATACTAGTCTACGGTTCCTTCTTATAAGTATGGTATAATAACGGGCGCCAGAAACCCTAGTCTAAATATTAAAGCCCCTGGATTAAGCCTATATCAACTATAGAAGGGTTTAGGGTTTAGGGCTAAACCCTAAACCTTAATTATTAAGGCCCCTCCATTAATGTAATGTGCTTCGGTCGACCGAGCCCGAAACTCGCAGTGCCCTTTTTTGAATTTGGGGCCACTTCGGGGGAAAACATGGTCTGGGGGCCGAAATGATTAGAATGGGGTTTGTGGTATTTTCAATATTTTTATGTCAGAATTTTATCCGGGAATCCTCGGGAAGTTCATCGGCAATGACTCTCCCTGAACCCTAAACCCCAACTCGTAAATCTCAATTCTGAGTTTTCTTCATGGAGAGCGGCTCTTGAGGTCCCAAGAGAGTACGTCGCTCTAAGCTAGGGGACGTAAATAAATGCAAAAAGGTTCAGGGTTTAGGGTTCACGGTTTAGGGCTTTGGGCTCTTGGTGTAGGGTTTGATTAGAGATGAGGGATTTGAGAGCAGTTGTGTAGCTGTCAGGAGACATCAGCACGCGAAGGTGTCGGTGGATAGGGTTTGGGGAATGCGTCGGTGTTGAGCTAGAAGCTCTTATGACCAGCTAAAGCCTGACTGCCACAAGACTCCACCGCAGCTACACCGATCTTTTCTGTCGGCATATGGGACGTCGCGAAGGTTACCGGACATCAACACCGAAGAGAGTCTTCAACATGTTCCTATTCATCGCATTGTTAGATGGGAGATCATAGTGATACTGATCCCACATGAAGGTGGCTTTGCTGTCATTGGCCTTCCAGGACGCCGTCATGTTCGACACGTCCCACATATGCCAACCGTGATCTGCAAACTTCAGGGTCTTGTACAACTCCTTGTAATACTTGTTCGCCCATGTAATGAAAGACTCCTCGGGGTTTGCTAGGGAATTTAGTCTAAGTCACCATAACGTGCCAAGCATAGTTTAAGTTAACATAATGGAAAACCATATCATTTACTGTAGATCCCTATTATGGTAATGTATTGGCCCAAATAATTACCAAACGATTTTTTGGGGCTCCTTGTTTTGATTGCAGTATAATGGGCCCCAAAACCCTATTCTACTTATAAAAGCCCCCTATACCAAAGAGTCCTATTCTAGATACCTTATTACAAGCTCTATAATAGTGCCCTTTAGGAGCCCTTCAAAGGAACCCTGCTCCAACTAAAAAGCCCCCTATACTTATGGTAACTCGGACTCCCCAAACCCTAATTTAATCTAAGCTGTAAGCCCTTAACCCTAAACCTTGAACCCTAAACCCTAACTCGTCCTTTGCGCCTCTCAACCCTAAACCCTAAACCCTAAACCCTAATGGTACCTCAAACTCCCCAAGAAGAGCCCAGGTTCGTACTGGTCGTTGGATCGGAGCAGACGGGTTTTGAAATACAGCTGCACCGGCGGATGAGACCTGTTTTGTCAAAAGTCCAAGACGCAGAGTTAGGGTTTAGGGCTAGGGCTTAGGGTTGAGGGTTTAGGACAAGGTTATATGTATGATCCTGATGTCACCTAAGCCCGTTTTGCCTTAACTGCGAAGCCCTGGAGCCATAGTATAGGGGCCTAAAGAATTACCAACACTATTGCGGCGGCTTCCTTGTTATGATTATAGTACACTATACCCCAAACCCTATTCCAATTATTGTCAAGGCCCCTATATTGTAGAACCTCTATAATAACCCTTACAGTATCCCTTGTAAGGAACCCTTTAAAGGAAATCATTAAGGCTCCTGTATGAACTGCGAAGCCCTCGAACCAAACATCTTCCTTGGGGGAAAACAAGAACACCAATGAACCGTGCACTTTACCTTGGGGGTTTAGGGTATAGGGTTGGGGGTTTTGCACAGGGGTTTAGGGTTTAGGGCTTAGGGGTTTAGGGTTTCAGCGTACCCATAGGCCCCATAGTAGTTCCTTTTTGGGGTTACCTTATAGGATTCTATATATGAGCCCCAAAAAGGAACTGCTTTAGGGCCTATGGGTAGCTACCTGTGGAAAAGATCTCCAGGCAACTACCACAAAGCCCGGGTCCCGAACACTCCGTAATTATTTAGGCTTCGGATAGTAGTTATGTAGGTTACTATTCGGGAGAGCATATGATTATTAAGTACTTGGACCCTCAGGGTATGTTCCGACAAGAAACGCTTGGACCGTCGAAAAGAACTTGACTATATCTTCATTCTTGACGCCCACCAGCTCCTCCCAGCCAGGATGGAACACCACCTTTTGGTCCCAGATCCCCGGGAGGATCAAACAAAGTAGAGTCCCTAATTTGGGACCCTAACCACTAAAGAGTACTGTTCAGGAACCCCTTAAGGGATCTGCTTTTTGGATCCTCCCGGGGGTCTGGGGCTGAGGGCTGGGAAACAGGATTCGGGTTCAGGGGCGAGGGTTTACAGTAGAAGCCCAAAAGTTGGAAACCTGATAGCCTCAATCCTTAAGAGCTATGTATTAGGAACCCATCCTTAATCCGGTTTCCCACTTTTCGGGGCTTACTATAGGGCCGCTTCGGGTTTAGGGCTTTCTTGGTGGCACCTCTCTTCCGACCTTCCTCGGGGTCGTTTGTCCGTGGAAGGTTCGGGTGTTAAGCTTAGGCATTCGGGCGGTTGTCGGGAGTTTGGCTTGGGTTGTCTACCGTTCCGGGCTATAGTGTAGGTTAAGGTTGGTATTTTGGGGGGCAAGAGCATGACTTGCAGGATCATGCGCCTTAGGAAGTAAGGACATAAGTAACCCAATTTGGGCTATAAAGTTATAAACTAGCTACCTTGTTTATCACCCTAGCTGCTAACTCGCAGGATCCTGCCAGTAGTGCAGCTGGGCCCAAACACTTTGAGTGAGAACAACCCGATGGTGAACTCCAGAAAGTTGGAATATGGATTAAGGTTGGTTAGTGCTAGTGCTAGGACTCACTATACCGAACCTTGAGGGCATGAGGACAATCATGTTCCAACTTTCTGGCTTCTACTGAAAACCCTAAAACCCTAAACCCTAAACCCTAAACCCTAAACCCTAAACCCTAAACCCTAAACCCCAAAACCCTAAACCCTAAACCCTAAGCCCTAAACCCTGAGAGTGCTGTCTGCCAGCAAGGTGTGGAAGTGGCAGCCATGGCCCGAATAAGATGGACCATGTGAGACCCCCCTACTTGGAGGTTCGTGGGTTTAGGGTTTAGTGGTTTAGGGTTTAGGGTCTAGGGTTTAGGGTTTAGGGTAGTTATAAGTGGAGTTGTGAAAGCAGGTGGGCGGACGCCTAAATGAGGCCCCCCTACTTGGAGGTTCGTGGGTAGTTATCAGTGGGATTATAAGTCCGCCAATATGGGTTATAAGTATAGTTACCCCACTTATAACCCCAGTTATAACTGCCCATGAACCTCCAAGTAGCTTCGCCCAGGAACCCCCAATCAAACGCAAAACACAAGCATGGTTTGGAGTTTAGGGCTTAACAAGTCCTGCAAGGTCCCTTTAAACGCCAGCCCGACATTGAAATAAACCCAAGACAACCTCATATCATCCCATGCTGTAGGCCCCCAGGACCCAAAACAACAGCACGATTGTTTGCAACCCTGTTGGGTAAATACTAACCCTAAACCTTAAACCCTAGACTTTAAACCCTTAACCTTCAACTATGTCTTCAGGAGTACCAGGCACTTAATGACGACACCCTAAACTGCTATAAGCTGAATTAACAATTCCTTGGAGTTGTAGCTTACTAATCTCACGAACATCTCCGAAGAGCACTACATGTAGGACGTTTTCGGGTGGGTAGTTAGAGCACTACATCTAGGACATTTTCGGGTGGGTAGTTACCGTTATAGGAGCCTTATAGAAGGTCTATATAGACCTTATGGAAGCCGTATAGAAGCCCTATGTACCCTAAACTTCCCACTTGTAGTTTCCTTTAAACCCTAAACCCTAAACCCACTTAAAAAAACAAAAAACCTAAACCCCTTTTTCAAGGAACCCTAAACCCTAAAACCCTTCAAACCCTAAACCCTAAACCCTAAACCCTAAACCCTAAAACCCTAAGCCCTAAACTCACCTGTAGTTTCCTTTAGCAGGAGCCTGGTTGCTTGAGATGGAGTGACGGAGAGGTCTGGATCAAAGTGAAGTGATTTTGCACACACGTTTAGGCATTCGGGTTTAGGGTTTAGGGTTTCGGGGTTAGGGTTTAGGAATTCGGGTTTGGGGTTTAGGGTTTCGGGTTTAGGGTTGAGGTTAAGGTCTGCACCGGAGCTTACGTGTCACCAGTTGGCCGCAGTGTCCTGAGAGCCGCCGCAAACGCGGGGGGGCCGATACACTTGCCAGACACCACCGACCCAGAGACTCCACCACCCCTAATTGTTCGAAGATACGAGTACAGGGGGTTTAGGGTTTAGGGTTTAGGATTTAGGGTTTAGGGTTTAGGGCTTAGGGTTGAAGTAAAAGGGGGGGTTCTTGTGTTCTTGTACTGATTCTCAGGGCATGTTCCTTAATGAAGGGGGTGTCCGAGCCTCTGGGGATAACAGCTACAGACTGGCCGAAAACGACTGCGAGCACGACAGGTCCTGGCCGTGATCATGCAGACTAGGGTTTAAGGTGGTTTAGGGTTTAGGGTGACCTTCTTCTACGTAATAAGCAGCATAACACGGATCCGAGTATAAATGCCGTGAAACAAAGGGAGATATAATAGGTCGGAGATTCACTTCTGCCCTAGTACCTAAACTCTAGAACCCTTGTCTCCCTCTTGTGACACTTGTAAAAGCCTGTGCAACATACATCGACGACCTCTTGAGAGTTCTGTTTTCACAAGCGATGGCGACTAAAAACATAAGTTGAGCTTGTGTCACACTCACAGTATGCATCGTCTTTTACAGTCAACCAGGCTGTCTTACTGTCACTGCTGCTGCTACTTAGCGCGGCAGAAAAGTCCTTTCTGTAAATGCACACTTCCGTAAGCTGCCTTGATTGTTCTTATCATGTCGAGGCTTCGTTCCTAAACCTTAATTGCAAGATTGCAAAAGACAGCGCCTTGGCACGCGGGTGGTTGTCGAAATTAGGATGCTTTTTTGGGGCCCTTGTTATAAGATTATATAAAGGGTGCCGTACTATGTTGGGGATCTAAAAAGGAACCCTAATTTAAAGAACTGCCCATGCGTGTTCTCTGCTACATTTCAGCGCCCGTCCCGCCCTCTTCACGTTTCTGCACGTGAGATTCGCACCTGGCCGCTTGGCGTATGGCCGGAGCTCCTTCCAGGGCTCCGTAAGGTTTCTGAGGGTTTCGGGTAGAGGGCTTCTCTTAAAATTTCGGGTACAGGGCTTTAGGGTTCAGGCTATGAGCGTTGCGGGAGTTGTGGAATTCAGGGCTCAGGAAGTTACGGTTTAGGGATTTAGGGTTTAAATTTTAGGGTTTAGGATGCAAGCCGAGGAAGTTCAGGGCTGGGATTTTGGTGTTTAGGGTTTAGGGTTTAGGGTTTAGGGTTTAGGATAATCGGTTTGGGCAAGTCAGGTAGGAACAGATGCCAGAAAAGGTCCTAAAACCTAATCTCCTAAACCGAAAACCCCTGAACCCTAAAACCTAGACCCTCAACCCTAAATCCTAAACCCCATGGTGAATGTAGTGAGACAAGTTTGGGTCTAGGACATTTTCAGGTGGGTAGTGACCGTTACAGGAGCCTTATAGACGGTCTATATACTTTAGAGAAGCTTATAGAAGCCCTACATACCCAAAGCTCCCCACCTGTAGTTTCCTTGAATTCGGGTCACCTATCCTGAAGTCTCCAACTTTGTGACCTTACAGTCCCCGCCCGGCTTCCTTTTGCTCGTGTTCGCATGTGTATCATCTGGGCTTTCATCCTTTCGTCCTGATGCTGCTGATGATCACCCTCACCATGAAGAAGCAGAAGAGGTGATCTTGTTTTTGCTGCCGCTTGCTGCTTTTCCTCCGGTGCTGCCGCTGCTGGTGCGTTGTTGTTGCTGCTGCGCCGAACCGGCTGGAATGCTTCACCTGCACTTGCGGCATCGATTTTTCTTGGTCTTGGTCTGGGTACCGTTGTTGTGGTGGCGTTTAGCATGATAATGTTTGCGTACATCCATAAGTCTACGTCCAGGTCTCCGTCCGTTTATTGATATGGCCCGGCATTTGGCCCCTGATTTCTTGTCTAATACGGCTTTGGGTTGCGAGGTTCTACGATTGCCCACATACTTGTAGGATCCGTTTGTGCTCGCTTGTGAGCCAGGTGCTCTCGTGTGCTTGAGTCGCACGCAAATGCAGGCGTTGTCCACATTCGTTCCTATGTTTTTGTTCTGACACGCTTCGCGTTCATGCACTTCGACAGCATTTCATCTCCTGACAATGTTCCACGCTGCACCGGCTTTTTGGCAGTAATTAACATTTGCATCTTCTCTCCTGTTGCAGAAGGTGCTGGTGTTGAACATGATATATTTTGTTTTCCCTACGAGCTTCCCCTGGTTGAGGATCTGCTACAATGGGCAACTGCCAGGCAAGCGAGGTGGGCAACCCTAAACCCTAAAC